AGGAAAGCCAAGTCATGAACAACCTGCTGTGACACAGGGAAGTTGGTTCAGCTCCACAGGTTGCAGAATGTGGCTTTTATTCACACACAAATTGGAGTCGCTTTCTAGCATAGCCTTCTCCAGGCTTGCCTGTACAGCAGAGTCAAAATCCAGGTGTAGTGGTTAAGTGCGCGGATTCTAATCTGGGAGAACTGGGTTTGATTCCCCACTCCTCTACTTGCACCTGGCTGGATGACCTTGGGCAAGCCATAGTTCTAGAACAGCTGTTCTTGAAAAAGAGCAGTTTCTGTCAGAGCTCTCTCAGCCCCACCTACCTCACAGGGTGTCTGTTGTGGGGAGGGGAAGGGAAAGGAGTTTGTAAGCCGCTCTGAGACTCCTTTGGGTAGTGAAGGGCGGGGTATAAATCCAATCTCTTCTTCCTCTTCTTCTTGATTGCTGCAGGGGGTAGCCATCTTGTTGCCTTTCAGCATTGCAGTGGCAGAAAGTGCCAGAGTCACAGCTAACGTACACCAACCCTGTAGGATTTTCAAGGCAAGAGAGCACCAGAGGTGGTTTGCCATTGCCTACCTTGACAGAACAGCAGCTTCCTTGGTGGCCTTCCATCCCAATACTAACCACAACCAAGCCTGCTTAACTTCTGAGATCTGGCGAGATGGCACTACCCTGGACCACCCAGGTCAGGTGGTGAGTAAAAAGTGAATGGACACTTCTCCCCACATACAGAACTGGTCAAACTGGGCTACACAGAAATAGTGCTGTATAGCTTTCAAGCAATGAACATACATTGTCAGCTTCTGTAGCTGCTTTTGGAAGAACGTAATAATCAGCTGCTTCCTTCCTCCCCCCCCCCCCCCCCCCCCATCCAAAAATGCCTTTAAAGATCCTGCAATTGTAGAGCTGCTTCTCTACCAGCCTTGGCTGGGTCCTCCTTGCCTAGAGGCCTTTGGCTGCCTTGATTGCCAAGTCAGTAGGGCTGGCTGGGCTTGTGTGGCCCGGCTGGTGGCAGCGCCTGCACCATTCCATTAGTCTTCCTCCTGCTTTTCTTCTTTCACGGGCAGGGTACAGAGGGCTTGCTTCTGTGAGGACTTTGCTCTCTCACTGGAAAACCATCTAAGGATTTAGTTTTAGTCTTACCAACCAAGGTATGCAGAATTATGCGCTTCATTAAAAAAAAGAAAAATCCTTCTTCCACAGAGCTACAGATCTCAAATCAGAATAAATTGGGCAGTCCTAGTACCTACTTTCGAAATGATGGGGGACTCATGGTTCTCAGCTGGAACATCCCTTGGTATAACCTCCCCCCCCCCGCACCATACTGTCGCCCAGACATGACGCAGCACGCTGGGCATGTAGCTGGGCGACGCTCTGGCAATGCAGCTGGAAACTCGATGGTACCATCGAGTTTCCAGCTCCATTGCCAGAGTGTCGCCCAGCTACGTGCTGGTGTCATGTCTGGGTGACGGCATGGTGCAGCATGTTTGTTTTCCGCGCGGGAATGTTCCTGACAAGAAGTATGTGTCCCCCGCCGATCTGAGGTAGGTACTTGGTAAGCCTAGGCAGTCCAGTGGGTGTGTTTGGGGGGGGGGGGGGTCAAATATTTTCAGTGGTTTTGTCTTGTCAAATGGGGGGAACATGGGGGCAGGCGTTCTTTGCGTCTGCGCTTCCTTTCCCAGGGAGGAAAGGGCAGGGGAAGAAAAGAGCACAGGCCAGAGGGACGGAGAGAAGAGACTCCTTTGTATTAATTACAGTACGACTTTTATTAATACTGGAATCTTCACAGTGCATTCGTTACTTGTAGCAGTGACTATTTTAAATGGAGAAGGAAGTCGGGTAGAATAATTCTTTTAAGTAAGGGGAAAAAAGAAACTCGTGGGAAAGGCTAAGGGAGTGCTAGAAGGGGCAGGGGAAATAAATTAAAAAAGAGCGAGAGAGAGAGGAACAAGTTACAACAGCACCAGAATAGTTACGTCAGTTGAAAGACATTTTAAAGGAGTTCTTTTTCTCTGTACAAAAATGAAAAATAAAAAGCAAAATGCAAACATTTGTCACGGTTGTAATCTCTGGTCATGACACAGCATGGAGCGCACAGGAGGGGCTGGCAGGTTAGAACTAAACTGTTATTACTACAACAGTCAAAGAGGAAGGAGGGTTACGTGAAACGTAGGCCATTCCCTCCCCTAGCATGGGGAGGGGGAGGCCAGGGGGGTTTCTGCTTTGGAGCTATGTACATAATCCGGAGCGGCTGTGCTGCACCAGCGCTGGGGGGGGGGCACAGCAAGATCAGGGGAGGGGAGAGGGTGTGCTTTCTCAAAGGCCTCTAGCAAATGATTGTGCCCAGATTGTTTGGTGCCCAGTCAGGTACCCACAAGGTACCCTCTGTGGCTGTGTGGTTTGTAGACTGCTGTGTGGGAACTCCTGTCAGGAGTCAACCCCCCCCGCGCGCTTCCTAGAATTTTTTAGCTTGGGTTACATTACACAAATGCTTCTAAATCTGACATCTGTCTGCAGCTATTTCAACCTCAGTGGGGTGGTCCACTCCTATGACAGTCTCAACAAACTCCAGTTTTTCCCACGCAGCTCTTTTGCGTTGGCAGATGGTTTGTATGCCAGGGTCTTTGGCCCGTTCGAGAGGACTGCGGCCAACAAAGATGGACCCAGGGCTGGCACCTCTTCCTAACCTCTGTGGGGTGGCCGGGTGTTAGCCTGGTAACATACAGCAGGCTTCCCAAGTACTTACCGTGATTCGGCGGGGGACACAGACGTCCTCGCAAGATCATTCCTGCGGGGACAACAGACGCGCTGCACCATGCCGTCGCCAGGAAGTGAAGCTGGGCGACACCCTGGCAATGGGGCTGGAAACTTGATGGTACCATCAAGTTTTCAGTCCCATTGCCAGAGCGTCGCCCAGCTTCACTTCTTGGCGACGGCATGGTGCGTTACAGGGAGGAATGGTCCGGCCGGGGAGCATGTTTCCTCCGCCAGATCACGGTAAGTACTTGGGAACCCTAGTCCTTTTTCCTTCCCCAAGGAAAAGATGGAGGGAAGGAGCACAGTGGATCAGGCCTGCTCTCAGCCAGCCTCCCCAATCCCATCTTTCCTAGCCAAACACAGGGAGAAGCCAGCTCTCCCCGCCTCCCAGCGCGCACACACACACACATCTACCTTCAAGTAAGCCGTCTGCCTTTCTCCTCGGCATCCCACCCCCTCACCCTCTGCTTTTCAGGACTGTTTCCTCATTCCCAGCATCACATTCCATTGGCCAACTGCCTTACTTCCTAGACTTTCTGGGGAGCTGACAGTGCAGGAGCCAGAGACTCTACTCATTGAAAAGACAGGCAGGAACTGATGCCTGGTTCCACCCCTCGCCCTGGCTGCTGAGGGCACTGACAGATGGTTCCCTTTCTTCTCCAGCTCCAGACCTCACTCAAACAGCCATACTCCCTAGCCCATGTGCAGCTAAGCCTGCCAATGCTCCCCCCAAAACCTCTTCCAAAAGTGCCTGGAGGACCGCAGAACAAGTGAGCCAGTTTCCAAGGCAAAAAATACGAAGATGATGCCTGCCTGAGCAGCAGGGCAGACAGCTCTGACCCAACTGTGGGAAACTCTGGTTTTGGCTACGCACCCATTTCTCAATCCTGAACTTAGGGGCAGCATCTTACACTGGGAACTGGTCGGCTCAACTGTCTCCCAAGCACCTACGGACCCCTGTGATCGGATGTCGGAAGCACATGCGGGATTCAGTCACTGGCTGTGAAACCAAACTGGGTTTGGGCAGAGATCCCTTGAGACCAAGGCCTGCCCCCTGCTGAGTCCTCAGGTGTGTGCAAAGGATCAGCTTCGGTGGCCGACCTTCAGTCTTCAGGTGATGAGACATTTGGAGGAGTCTACTGATTGTCAAAGTAACGCCCGTCTTACTCCTAAGATCAGGACTGTGACTGGAAACCAGGAATGCTGAGAAGGTATTCAAACCGGCCCGTGCCACATCTTCTCCTTGTTCTCTCTGTGGTCCAAACTTCGCTTTCAGAATCGGAGGGGGAACAGAACAACTCCCCCTCCCCAAAACCCTCTCTGCTTTTTCCAACACATTCATTCCCATCCTGTCTTTCAACAGCTATTTTGATACCCTTTGTTTCTACCAATTTTTTTAAAAAAGGACATAACACTTCTACAGGCAATCCCAGCTAATCAGGGATCATCCAAGGGAAGGTCTTAGGTGCATAATCTACTGTGGCAATGCTACCCACAGCAGCCAAGGGGCTCACCCTCTCTCTGCAAACACCTTCGCCTACCAAAGGGGAAGACACTTTTCAATGCTGTCAAAAACATCTGCAAAAAGCAGCTCTGCAGCCATCCATGCACAGCTGAACCAATGTGATTCTCTACAAAGACAAGAGCTTCAGCTTTCCATGCGGCATCAATCCAAGAATGGAGGAAGGCATGCGAGAGGGGGTTCACCCTTAAGCGGGCTTCCCTAGACTCTCTTGGTCCACACACTGGCCTTAAGGACCACCGGCACACACACCCCTCCACTTACCCAGGGACCTCTTTGCCCTGCAGCACTGCTGCTCATCCATCTACACCTACACAGAACTTACAGGCTCAGCCATATGCATTCTATGGCCACCCTCGCACTCCTGGGGCACTGTAGCCATGGCTTTGTGGAAACCTTTGGGCCAGGCATTACAGATATCGCTGGAGCAAGGCTCAGCTTTCCCGAACTGCTGTGCAAGCAGCCACTGGGGGCCTGGTAAAAAGGAAAGCGCCCTTGTTCACACCAGAAGCTGCCCGCCCCATTTCCCCTCCGTGCAATCAGGATCGACACAGACAAGTTTTGTGCCCATGACCAATGCTCCCTCTAAGCTGTGGAGTCTTGTGAGCCAAAATTCTACTTTGTGAGCTACCGGCATTAAAGTCGTGAGCGAGCGAGTTGGCTGCTGCATACATTAGTTTGCTCTGGAGCCATGAGCGAAGACAAACGTGTGTGAGCCGGAGGCTAAAAAACTGAGCTAGCTCACACGAACTCAGCTTAGAGGGAACACTGCCCATGACTATGCTGAAAGCTTCGCTGCACCCAGGTGGGCAATGTGAGCTCTTTCCACTGGACAGCCACGTTCTCACGAGGCTCCTGTTCGCAGCTGCTTGCTCAGCCTGAAGTCCAGCTGTGCTGCGAGGAGCCATCTTTGAACAGGGCCAGATTCTCTGGAATCGTTTGTGTTGATGTAACCACCTAGGAAGTCTTTTTTTTTTTGAACCAGAGGGTACAAAAAACAGATGATAGGAACACAGAAAAGACGACAGTGGAGGGAAGGATCCAGCACAAGACTTAACGGTGCATCTGTTCAGAGGAGACACGAGCGCTTTTTGTAGGAGACGTCCCCTGCATTGCGCTACAGCTGCGTCTGAGATGTGTGCCTGACAGCTGATAAATCCAGTCCAGGTTTTTGGTCCTCCCTGACAAACACACAACAACACGGTTTGCCTCTGGGTGATGCTGGCAGAAACTGATTTCTATAAGCCAGGAAGAAGGTGCAGAATGGTGTGGGGGGGAAGGAAACTTGGGAGGGCGGCTGTTGAAAAACAACATATAAAATAGGCTCTAAAACCAGTTCAGTGCCAGGCTTGTACCTTTCTGAGCATGTTAGCAAAGATGTTTTTCGTTTTAGTCTCCATTTAAATCTAGCCTTCGGTGCTATGTCCATAAAGTGGCTTTGCCTTTTTTTTGCGGTTTGTTAATTCTCTTCTACCTTTTTGTTTTTTTTGTCACGGTGGTTGTTCCTGGTTCAGTCCTGACTTCGTGCGGGGCATCGTGACAGGCAGCTGGGGGGAAAGGCCATCACAAAATCCGCGGTGCTGACCTGTCATTGGTGATGGTCCTGCGGAGGCGCACCCCACGGCGGATTGCTACTAACATGTCTTCAGCAGGGGGGTCGCTGGAGGCTGCCGGCGGAGGAATGGGTGTCTCCTCCCCGGGGCCGTGGGTAGACAACGCCGTTGGGAAAGGGAACTGGCCTTCCCCAAGCGCATGTGCGCTGGCCACCAGTTCTCCAATCTTTTCCACCAGGCTGTGGCGGTTGGCTGCGAGCTGTTGGTCTTCCTCCTCCGTGGAGAGGTGCTGCCCAGCCCCTGCATACACGGAGATCTCCATGACGTTGCTGCCCCAGGCTGTGTTGGGCAGGCTCAGCCTCTTGGGGGAGGCTTTGGAGAAGTCCATGGCGTTGGGTGAGGCATCGTCGGCATAGAAAACGCATTCCTCACTGCCCACCCGGGTGGGTCCAGTGTAACCAAGGGAGTCAGGCACCGTGGGGGTCTTGACAGGGACAATGGGTGGTCTGATGGGAATGGGACCGGCGTTGGAGAGGGTTCGGCGTACCGTCGGCTTTGTGGAAGGCGTGCGGCGGATGGTGGCCACACCCGGAGTGGTACCTGACGGCAGGGCAGTGCCGGTGGGCAGGCCTGCTGTAGAGGCAGGCCGCTTGGTCTGGATCATGCGGCGGTAGTTCTGGGCAATGTTGCTGTTGCGAGGGATGGTGGAGGATTTGTCAAAATCGCTCTGGCTCTCGCCTTCCACGTCGCCATTGACAGAATAGCAGTCGTAATCCGAACCTAAGGGAGGAGACATAGATCTTCAACACACTTGGGACTGACTGCGCAAAGCTGGCACAGCAAGGACGCATCAGATAACCCACCAGCTGCAACGCTGCAAGATACATCAGCACACCACGCAACCACACCCCCTTGGAATAGACAATGAAGGTTAGTATTGCCTCCTCTAACCAGCAATGGCTCCCCAGGTTCTCAGAAGCAGGTCTTTCGTATTCCTTACTACTTAGAATCATTACCTGCAGATGCTGGGGACTGACCCAGGGACCTTCTGCATGCAAAGCAGAGGCCCTACCACTAACCCACGCCCCCTCCCACCCTTCCTCTCTCCTTCCTGAGGTCCAACTGAGTGAATTTTGGGCTAGACGGCTCTGAACATGTCTTAGCTTCTAACTGAGAAGACTGGAGGTGATAGGAAGGTAGAATGCTGGAAGGGATAGGGCTAATGTTTATCTTTTAATGTGCTTAGTCATTTCATTCGTCTGTACCTATATTGTACATCAATAAACCATCCTATTCATTTCAGTAAGGCAACAGTCCCTGTGTTCTCTTGCCAGTTAAGTGGAAAAGGGGGTGAAAAAGAATACAGATTTTCCGTGGTCAGTTTCTACCCTCTTCACAAGAGGTCAGCCAAAGAAGTGGGCATAGGACACATCTAAACAAAAGAGGAAAAAGAAAAGGAAAAGAACTAAGTGTTAAAATCTAACGCAATGTAGGGAGAGCAGCACCTTGTGCCAGAGATGAAGAATTCCACAGGGCAATGGTGTGCTCTTCCAGAAAACCACACAAACATTCTGGTAGGAACTGCACCTACACAAATCCCACTGAAATGTGCAGGAGTGTGTTGGGGGGGGGGGAAGGTGGAGAAGGCAGAGGTGGTGGTTGGATTTATACCGCTGCCCTTCACTACCCAAAAGAGGCTCAGAGCAGTTTACAATATCCTTTCCCTTCCCCTCCCGACAGCAGATACTCTGTGAGGTAGGTGAGGCTGAGAGAGCTCCCCGTGAGAGAACAGCTCTGAAAGGACTTGTGACTAACCCAAGGTCACACCAAGCAGCTGCATGTGGAGGAGTGGGGAATCAAACCCAGTTCTCTCAGATTAAAGTCCATGCTCCTACCCACTACACCACACTGGCTCTCAGAATCTTGGACAACTGAGATTCCTGGTGGGTTGTGCCAAGCCATGTGTGTTACAGCCAGCCAGTGTGTTGTGGTTAGGATGTTGAACTGGGATCCGGGAGACCCAGGTTTGACTCTTCACTCTGCCAGGGAAGTTTGGCCCTCAGTCTGGAGACCTGAGACACTCTTCCAGTGTTGGCGCCACGAACGGATGTGTCTCGGGAGTCTCCCGAGTTTTTTGTTTGGGGTCTAGGGTTTGGGTTTTTTTTTGTAATTACTTTTTTACTTATAGGATTTTTCTGCAAAGCTGGGTCTCTTCTCTGTCTACATAGTGCCTATCCATGAATTTAAGTATCTACAGATGGGACGGCTGTCCGTTCCCTTTTCGCTCTTTGGGGGTTACCCGCAGTGGCAGGGACCCTCGGCTCAACCTCCTGTAGGGAGTTGCTCTTAACTGACCATAGACCATCACGGGGGAGTGACTGACTCGTCCTGAAGTAGGAGCGGAGCAGAGGAGGAAACAAGGCTCCCATGTTTCCTTTAGCAGCGACCGGCCGCTGTTTTTAAACTATATATGAAGAAAATCGGTTACACATCACATGAAAGGATTTGATCGCGTATAAACAGGAGAAGATTGAAGTGCTTTGGAGTTAAATACCCCTAGAAGATATTCCCAACCATGACGAAGCAGCTGTGAAATGACTGGGAATGGAATTGACTGTAAAGTGGAGGGGGTAAGAAAAGCTTTTGTCCTATCTGATGGAAAGTTTTTGATGGAAAGTAGCAAAATAAGAAACTAAAAGGACCGTATTAAGTGACTTTGGAAATTTGAAAGTTGGCTTAAGAATTTGTAGTGTTAGGAAACTGAGGATGGCTGAGGAAGAATGGGATCCAGATACATTAGTGGAAACCCTCACCCGGGAACAATTTCAAAACTTTTTGGTGAGAGAAATTACCCAAGCAGTTAAAACTGCCTGTAGTAATCTTGTGGGAAATTACACAAATATAAGCCAAGATAAAAGCAACAAGGAGGATCAAATTCCAGATACTCAAGAGAGTGCGGAGGAACAAGATTACTCATGGGAGAGAGTGAAGAAACCGCCTAAAGATTACCTGACTTTAGTGGAAAAAGAGCAAGATATAGGTAATGACATTGGGCAATGCTTAAAAGAACCAATAAGATGTGCAGTAGAAAAGCAAACAGCAAAGAGACTATGTGTAAAAAAGAGAAAGCTGGAAAAAAGAAAAGGAGGAGGGAAGAATGTGGCAAAGAAACTTAAAGTGGAAAAAAGAGTGAAGATTGGCTTTTTGGAAAATGGAAGAATGACTTTGGAAAAGGGACCGCATGAATACAAAAATTGGAGACACCTGGAAGAAGTTGAAAAGAAAAGGAAAGCTTTAGAAAGAGGGGGGGGAAAGGAAAAGATATATGCTGTACTCTTTGTTTTTTGTGGTAGCTTGCTAATTGTGGATAGAAATGGCTTAAATTAAAAAAGGAACTGGTTGTTATTGTAACAGAATAAGGGATAATTTGTAACTTCATAATATGCTTATATTTTTGATGGTCTTTGCTCTAAATATGCTCTGAGAATGAATTGTACTTAAATTAGCAATAAGGAATGAGATACTTGAACAGAAAGATAAGAGGGGTTTTAAGGTTATTGTACTATAAAGTATCTATAATAACAACAATGATATGATTGATTAAGATCTGAATTTCATGTTAAGAGCTAGGTAGTAGATAACTGTATCTGGTTGTTATTGCATCAGAATAAGGGATAATTTGTAACTTCATAACACGCTTATACTTTTGATGGTCTTTGCTTTAAATATGCTCTGAGAATGAATTGTATCTAAATTAGTAATAAGGAATGAGATACTTGAACAGAAAGATAAGAGGGGGTTTAAGGTTACTGTAAAGTATCTATAATAACAATGATATGATTGATTAAGATCTGAATTGCATGTTAAGAGCTAGTTAGTAGATAACTGCATCTGTATTTAAAGAATAAAAATAAAACAAAAATAAATATTAAACAAAAAATAAATAAGGGGTGGGGAAAAGGGGGGGAAGGAAGCTAGACAATTATGATCTAAAGAAAACAGGGCTATAAGCTGTTGTTTGTTGTTAATGGATTCTCTTCTTTAGGTTTAAAATTAATTTAAAATGGATATAATCACAGCAGTTCAAATAGGGGATAGATTATCAGTTGCTTAAACAAATGGAATTAATATATTAGTGTTAAGACTGTTTATTGAAAATGCCTTTGAGGCTATAGGAGTTGTAAGTCTGATTGAATATAAATTTATTTGTTGGAGTAATTCAAAGGATCCTGTAATACGCGATATTAGATATAAGAGTGGGAAAGATCAATAGGTTATGGGGAACATTTAATGGCCTTTTTGAATGAAAAATCTATGGATAATTTATTAACCCAAACTTGAAAGTTGATGTGTCATAATAATGATATGTTCTTGTGTTTGTGTTTGTTTGTCTGTTAAAAAATTAATAAATAGATTATTTTTAAAAAATCACTCTCAGCCTGGCCTGCCTCACACAGTCGTTGTGAGGACAGAAGGGAAAATAATGGATATTGCCCTGAGCTTGAGAGGACAGAAATGCACTAGAGAAATAATAAAAGATTTGAATTTTGCTGTGTGTTATTTTGGTCAAACACTCCCAATTTCCATAATTATGACATTTTTTTAAAAAAACCCTCATTGTTAGCAATATTTTATGGATATGTTCTCTATGCAGCACTTTTAAGAAGGCAAGTGCTCTGCAGTAGGCATTTTGTTAGTTCTCACAGTGAGCCTCTCACTGCCTTTTATGGCTTATGGTTGCAAGACGGAGCCTCGCCCAGAAAAGGACAGCAAAACTCTGCTTTCTGATCCATCGTGGATTTTATCCTCCACCTCAAAGGGAAACACCTCTAAGCTCTGATTCCCCTTCTGCAGGTGCCGGGCATTCTGTGCCACCACCTCTTCCACACGTGGTCCCTGGGCCCACAACAGCCCCCCCCCCGAATGCCTTCCAAGCCCCTGCTTGTGTCACACTCTATTCCTTCTGCCGCTGTACTGATGGGGGAAGGATACCTTGTGAGGGGATGGTGTCCTCGGAGCAGGAAGGCGTGGTCGTCTGCGTGCTGTAGCCACTTGAGTACTGCAGGGAGTCCCGGCTGCTCTTTTGGTGCTCGAGGCTCAAGCCGCGGGTCAGCACCATCGCCAGATCGCTGGCCGCAGGGGACACCTCCTCACCATGCTGGGGGTGCAAAAACAAAAGGGGCTCATGAGCAGCTGGACCCGGCTCACCGGAAAGCACGCCCCATCTTCTTCTTCTTCACCCTGGTGAAGTTCAAACCCAAGAACAGCAGCCAGCATGGCAAATTTATTTTGTTGACTTCATTTATACCCCACCTTCCTCCCCCCAATGGTGACCAGAGCAGCTGACTCTGCTCTTCTTTCCTCCATTTTATCTTCACAACAACCTTGTGAGGCATGCCAGGCTGAGGGCAGGTGAGTGGCCCAGGATCACCCAGCAAGATTCCAGGGATTTGCAGGAGGCCTCCGGTCCCCAGGCAGCCTGTGCTCCAAGGTCAGAGGGCACGACCTCTTGAGCAAGGAGGGTGTCAGACAGGACACTGATCGGGGAGAGCCAGCATGTGACCTTATCCACTGTTCCCCCCACACAGGGCGTTTTCCCCCCCACGGGCCCTCTGGGTTTAGGGCATGGCTAGGGAGAAATGACGCAGAAGTGGCATTTGAAGAATAAAAGCTCTACTTCTGTGCCCCCCCTCCCCAATTCGGCCTTGCAATTCTGCTTTGACTGATTTCACCCCAGTACCGAAGTAGGTTCTGAATGAATTTGAATTTCTTCTTCAAGGGCTGGGAAGGTGGGGGCACAAGGAAGGAGAGGTGCAGAGAGAAAAGGCAGGCGTTGAAGCAATGCCTGTCTTGCTGTCCCACCTTCTCCAGCCACGGCCTGCTTCCCTGGTGCCCCAAATGGCTGGATGCCAGAATGGTAACCAAGTGTGAATTATGCTGGTATTTCCCACAGCACCCCCCCCAAGGTGTGAACAATGGGTGGGCGGAGTCAGATATACAGATCCTGGATGTCTTCAAACAATTTTTCCATGTCTTGAGCCATCTTTTGCAGACCCCTGAATGTGGGTTGTCATGGAGAACCAACTGATCTTCGACGTGGTCTCTGTGCTTCACACCCATGGGATCTAGTGCACACGCACTGGATCGATCGGCATTGTAGCAAGCTCTTAATGGATTTTCGCGCCCAGACCTCGGGCATGCCCAGGAACCCCACCGCGCATGCCCAGAGGGGTGGGCGCGGACATCCCGCCAGTTCCTTTCTTACCGCTGCGTTGGTAAGACCTTTTCCTCGTTGGTCTGATCAGTTCGCTTTTTTGGCTATTTGCCTCACGGCTCTTTGGATTTTTTCCTCAGTTTCTTTTTTTTCCCCTTAGTCTTCTTTGTTTGTTCTTTTAAAAAAAATCAAATTTTTTTTTGTCTTTTGCTGAGGGGGAACTTGCCAGTTTGCCTCAGTGGCCTTCAGGCACCCCCCAAAACCCCTTTTTTTCTCCGTTTTTTATTTTTTATGGAGAAAAAGTGGGGATTTTTTAACTGCTGCAAGGGTTGTGGCAGTAAACTCGCTCCTCCTGACCGCCACACCCTCTGTATTTTTTGTTTGGGAGAGTCTCACCGACCTGAATCTTGTCGGCACTGTGCTAGGTTTTTGAACCAGACATGAAAAAACAGAGCTGCGCGCCTTAAAGTGGCGCTACTTGAGTCGGCGTTACATCCTCCCTCAGTGATGGAGTCCGAGAGACCATCGACGGCTCTGTCATCGAGGCCCTCCCCCGACATCAAAGGCACAATCATCCACTTCCACTCCGGTGAAGAAGAGGGCCAAGTCAAGTATAAGCATAAGTCCACAAAAAAGGGCTCCTCTAAGTCCCTAAAGGCGGCAAAGGCGGGGAAGGTAATGGTGTCAGCACTGGGTGCAGTGTGTCCTCTTGGATTTAGAGGAAGATGTTATCACCATCAAGTTTGGCTGAGGGTGCGAGAATAGGAATTCGGCATCTGCCTCTTGGACCCTATACATGTGGTCCAGTCGTCTCGTGGACACTGGGGCTGACGAGGGTTTTAGCCATGGAGCCTTTGCTGCCTGCAAAAGGACTGAAGACATAGGCAATGCCAAGGTGGATGATGTATCCAGCTGGACTATATCAAAAATGGCATCTGTTGCCTGGGGATGTTGCTGGATGACAGAGAGGCCTAAAGAGTGGGCCACCGGAGTCAGCCATGGCATGGATGGTGGATAAGCCCCATAGAGATATCTCAGTTGGCATTGATCCCAAGACAGAGGTGGTGGTGGGGGGTAGAAAAACTTGGGGGGATCGACTTCTGGATCGTGGGCATCTCAGAGACAAAGCGACAGCCTGCCTTTGAGAGAGGTCTGCATAATCACGGTCATCGATATTGACAGGTTCAAGACGCAGACATAGAGGGTGACGCTGCGTGGTAGTAGAGGTGTGTCGATTCCAACGTGAATCGATGTCAGGAGCCTCTGACATCATCGATGTCCATGACGGGGATGGAGAGGGAGAAGGTTCTGCATCCATCTGATGACTTAGGAGCTCTACTGTCTCGATG